CTCTGACCCAAAGTTTTAATTGTTCTTGGGCCACAGAACTGGAGGACAGACACTGTAGTTCCATTTTTTCAAGGGTGGTAGGACCACCAGGGAATTACAGACCAGTGAATCTTAAATCAGGATCAGAAAACAATTGGGTGAAAATTCTGAAGAGGAGAATTAATCTCCACTTGGAGATGCACAGAAACATAGAAAATAGAAGCCATTTGGCCCTTTGTGTATGCTCCGCCATTCATTGTGATCATGACTGATTATCCAACTCAATAGCTTGGTCCCACCTATCCTCCATATCTTTTAATCCCTTTAGCCCCAAGTTCTACATAAACTCCTTCTTGAAGTCACACAATGTTTTAGGCTCGACTGCTTTCTAGGTAGCAAATTCCACTGAATCACCACTCTGGATGAAGAACTTTCTCCTCATCTCAGTCCTTAATGGTTTACTTCATATTCTGAGACTGTGACCCCTGCCTGTGGGATCATCCTTCTTGCATCTACCTTGTCTGGTCCTGTCAGCATTACAAAAGATTGCCCATTACTGTTCTGAACCGCAGGGAATATAATTCTAAGCAAATCAATCTCTCCTTGTACATCAGTTCTGCCATCCCAGGAAACAGACTGGTAAACTTTTGCTGTACTCCCTCTATAGCAAAGGCGTTTGAGACAGATTCTCAACTGAGGACAGGCATACTAACATCAGCATAGTTGAAACAGTGAACAGCACCAGCATCAAGGCCATGATCATCCAAAACCAACTTTATTGGACAGCTATGTGCTTTGGATACCCAGTGTAGGACAATGTAAGTGTTTCAAAGACTTGCAGAAGGCTTCCCTCAAGAAATGCAACGTAGATATCAATGCATGGGAGATCCTTGTTCAGAAGAAACTGACTTGGAGAAAACTCCCGTCTAAAGGTACACAATTCTTTGAGAATACCGAATGGCAAGATGATGTATGAAAAAGAAACTGGAGAAAGGAATGCCAACGGTCTCAAGGCAAGGACCAATTCCATCTCCCAGAAACACCTGTCAAACATGGTTGGCAGTTCTAAGATCAGGCTCATCAACCAGCTACAGAATCCATGAGCAGTGATATGAAATTTCCTAGGCGAACAATCATACTCATTAACGAGTAATTGCTGACAATGTTAGCAATAACTTCATTTCACAGATAAGGAGACCAAAAGCACACACAATATTCCAGATGTGGTCTCACCAAGGCCCTGCATAACGAGAGAAAGACATTCCTGCTCCCGTATTTGAATCCTTTCACTATGAAGGCCACATACCATTTACTGCCTGCAACACATACAGGCTTACCTTCAGCAACTGGTGTATGAGGACACATTGCACGTACCTCACTCTATAGCCAGATAATAATGTCTCCGTTTTTGCTACAAAAGTGGATAACTTTACATTTATTCAAATTATACTGCATCTGTCATGTACTTGTCCACTCACTCAGCTTGTCCAAATCATTCTGAAGCATCCATCTGCCTCACAGCCCAACCTCCCACCCAGCTTTATATTATTTGCAAATTTGGAGATATTACAAATTAGTACTCATTAATATGTAATATGGACAGCTGGGGTCCTAGCACTGATCCCTGTAGTATCTCACTAGTCACGGCCTGGCATTCAGAAAAAGACCTATATATTCCTACTCTTTGTTTTCTGTCAGCAGTCAATGACAATACACTTACCTCCAACACTGTGAGCTTTAATTTGACACATTAATTTCTTACGTGCAACTTTACCAAAAGCCTTTTCAATGTCCAAATATACCACACCCACTGGCTCCCCCTCAGCCATACTAGTTACATCACTGAAGAATTCCAGTAGATTTGTCAAGCATGATTTCTCTTTCGTAAACCCACACTGACTCTGTCCAATCCGCCGCCGTTTTCCAAGTGCTCTGCAATTAAATCGTTTATAATGGACTCAAGACTACTGATGTCAGGCTGATTGCTCTATAATTGCCAGTTAGCTTTTTACTTCCCTTTCTAAAACCAGGGCTTACACGAGCTACCCTTCAATCTGTGGGAATTGTTCCAGAGTCTATAGAACCTTGAAAGATAACCACCAATGCACCCACTATTTCTAGAGCACTTTCTTAAGTACTCTGAGATGTAGGTTATCAGGAACTGGGGATTTATTGGCCTTCAATCCCATCAATTTCCCCAACACCATTTCCCTCCTAATACTGATTTCCTTCAGTTCCTCCCTCTCACTAAATCCTGTGCTCCCCAACGTTTTCAGTATGTTGTTTGTGCCCTCCTTTGTGAATGCAAAACAAGAGGACGTATTTAGTTGGCCAGCCATTTCTTTGTTTCCCATTATAAATTATTCTGTTTCTGACTGTAAGGGACATACCTATGAAAAGTTTTACAGTCAGTTTTTGTGTTCCCCACAAGCTCACTCTTACACTATCTTCCTTTTCTTAATCAATCCCTCGTCTTCCTTTGCTGAATTCTAAACTGCCCCACTTCACCAGTCTGCTGTTTTTTCAGATTAATCTGTATGCCTCTTCCTTGGATCTAATACTAACTCTAATTTCCTCTGTAAGCTATAGTTTAGCCAATGTTCCTTTTCCACCAGACCGGGAATGAACAATTGTTGCAGTTCCCCTATGGACTCTTCGAAGGTTTGTCACCCCTTTCCACCATCATCCCTTTAAGTAACATTTCCCAATTATCACAGCCATGTCTCATAGCCTGACCTTAGGTTTGAGGAGGGCTAATCAGCATGGCTTTGTCAGGAGAAGGCCCAGCCTAACAAATTTGATTGAATTTTTAAGGGAACGTTAACAGGCATGTAGATGGGCTAGGGCAGTTGATATAATTTATATGGACTTTGGCAAGGCCTTTGATGAGGTCCTATGTGGGAGGCTGATGAAGAAGGTAAAAACACATCGGATCCAGGGCAACTTGGTGAATGAAACCAAAACTGACTTAGTGGCAGGAGACAGAGGTTGGTGATAAAAGGGTTTGTCTGAGAGACGGGGAGCCAGTATCCAGAGATGTACTGCAGGGATCAGTGCTGGATCCACTGTTGTTCATTATATATAAAAAAGATATAGAAGAAAATGTGGAGGTGATGACAAATAAGTTTGTGGATTACATGAAGATTTGCCTCCTGGTTAACAGTGAGGAAGAAGGCTTAAGTTACAGGAAGGTATAGACAGGTTGGTCAAATGGGCAGATCAGTGGCAGACGGAATTTAACTCTGAGATGTGTGAGATGAAACATTTTGGAAGGAGAAACAAGATAAGGGAATACTCAATGAATGGCAGGACACTAGGAAGAACAGAGGGATCTTGGGCGCTTGTCCACAGATCCCCGAATATGACAGAACAGGTTCATAGAATTATAGAATCCCAACTGTGCAGTTCACCTAACCCATACATCTTTGTACTGTGGAAGGAAACTGGAGCACCCGGCAGAAATCGGGGAGGCAATAGCCTAGTAGTATTATCACTGCACTGTTAATCCAGAGATCCAGATAACGTTCTGGGGACCCAGGTTCAAATGGTGGAATTTGAACTCAATAAATATCTGGAATTAAGAATCTAATGATGACTGTGAATCCATTGTCGATTGTTGGGAAAGCCCATCTGGTTCACTAATGACCTTTAGGGGACGAAACAGCCATCCTTACCCTGTCTGGCTTACATGTGACTCCAGACCCACAACAATGTGGTGACTCTTAACTGCCATCTGGGCAATTAGGGGTGGGCAATAAATGCTGCCTAACCAGCAACGCCCTCATTCCGTGAATGAATAAAGCAAAAAAAAACAGAGGCGTGGTGAAAATGTGCAAACTCCACATAGAAAGTGACCCAAGTTTGGAATTGAACTTGGGTGCCTGATGCTGTGAAGCAGCAGTGCTAACCGCTGAACCACCATGCTGCTTGTTCTTAATTAGGTTAATAGGGTGGTTAAGAAGGCATATAGGATACTTCCCCTTATCAGTCATGGCACAGATTATAACAGCCAGGAAGTCATATTGGAGCTGTACAGGACATTGGTTAAGCCACAGCTTGAGTACTATGCATAGTATTAGTTACTGCTCTGTAGGAAGGATGTGATTGTACTGGAGGGGATACAAAGGAGATTCACCAGGATGTTGTTGGGCATGGACCAGTTTAGCGATGAAGAGAAGCTGGATAAGCTTGCATTGTTTTCTTTGGAGCAGAGAAAGCTGAGGGGGAACCTGATGCAGGTATATAAGAGAATATGATGGATAGGGTGCATAGGGTACATAGGAAGTAACTGTCCCCTTTCGTTGATGGATCAATAACAATGGGGCATAATTTTAAGGTGAAGGGCAGGAGTCTTGGAGGGGATTCAAGGAAAAAATGTTTCCACCCAGAGGGTAATGGGAATCTGGAATGCACTGCCTGGGAGGATAGTAGAGATGGGAAACTTAACAAGTTTGAAAAAATATTTGGATGAGTCTTGAAATTCATAATATTCAAGGCAATGGGGCAAATGCTGGGAAGTGGGATTAGTGTAGATGGGTCTGCACCAAAGGCCATCTTCTGCACTGTATGATCTATGACTCTACATGAGACTCCTATCGCACAACAATGAGATTTGACTTCACCATCCAACCCAGTGCACTGGTTTAAGGATATTAGCCACCACCATCAACAGATCTATCAAAGTTTGAGCATTCCAGGCCTGTACTCATTGGAGTTTTGAATAATGAATGATAGCCTTATTCACACAAGCAGAGTGGATGCTGAGAGGATTGTAAGTCTTTGGAATTCTCTACACCAGTGAACAGTGGAGATCAATGAATATAACCAAAACTGAGTTATACGGATTTTTGAGTGACAAGAGTTATCGGGAAAATGGGGTCTAGACCACAATAGAGTAGCCAAGCTCCTAATGAATGGTGCAGCAAGTTTGAAGGGCTGAATAACCAACTCTGGCTCCTACTTCTAACGATCTCTCAGCCCCACTGTCCCAGGCGTTAAGTTGAAGATAGGTAGGAACATACCTATATCGTCAGGGGAACTCCAAGAAGCACTGCCTTGGGAAAGGCTGGTCCAACTCGAGTCCTCATCACTAGCTGCTGTATTTTTCATTCCAAATAACAGACATGAGCTTTTCCGATGGTCACTGGGTGCCTCCAATGGGTTGGTCAGTCCGGCTTTTGCATCTTCCAGTGGCTGCTCTCCATGCATTTTGGAACCTGACCGGATTTCAGACGGTTGACTTGCTGAGTCTGACTCACATGCCTCAAAGTCTCCCTGATCCAACTGGATGACCAGTGGTTGTCCTTTGTCAGAATTCCCACCACATGCATTGAGGGAAAGTTCCAGGCCCATGTAGTAACTGAGGAAGCCTTTACTTTGGGAACCAGCCTGGTTCACTGCTTGCTCCTTGTCTACTGATTCTTGTTGCTCCTTCTTTGCAGAGCTCTCAATCTCTTCCGTTCTCGAGGTAACGTTCCAATTCTGGTCTTTTCTCTCGTTCTCGGCGGCCTTGCGCATCTGATTTCGCCCGTCCTTCAGCCACTTGCTATTGGCAGTCTCATCAGCCAGTCCCATGGCAGTCTGAAGGTCAGTAGAAGCATAAACCTTACGGCCTTTGGGTGGCGTCGATCTCTTGATGTCAGCATTAAGCAGCTCGTTGTGTGATGAGCGCAGGTTGAGCGTCAGTGTTGGGGTCACACAGCTGGTGACATTCACCAGGCCTGTCTGGTTACTGACAGAGCCAGACATAGCGCCTCGATCACCCTGAAATGAAACAGAGCAAATATTTAACAGCGACTGGCTGGGCAACAGGAGACAGAGAGTTGTAGTAGAAGGGAGTTTCTCAAAATTAAGAACTGGGACCAGTGGTGTTCCACAGGGATCCGTGTTGGGACCCCTGTTGTTTGTGATATACATAAATGATCTGGAGGAAGGTATAAATGGTCTGATTAGCAAGTTTGCAGGTGACACTAAGATTGGTGGAGTGGCAGATAGTGAAGGGGACTGTCGGAGAATGCAGCCGAATATAGATAGATTGGAGAGTTGGGCAGAGAAATGGCAGATGGAGTTCAATCCAGGCAAATGTGAGGTGATGAATTTTGGAAGATCCAATTCAAGAGCGAACTATACAGTAAATGGAAAAACCCTGGGGAAAATTAATGCACAGAGAGATCTGGCTGTTTAGGTCCATTGTATCCTGAAGGTGGCAATGCAGGTCGAAAGAGTGGTCAAAAAGGCATACGGCATGCTTTCATTCATTGGACGGGGTATTGAGTACAAGTGTTGGCAGGTCATGTCACAGTTGTATAGGACTTTGGTTCGACCACATTTGGAATACTGTGTCCAGTTCTGGTCGCCACATTATCAAAAGGATGCGGATGCTTTGGAGAGGGTGCAGAGGAGATTCACCAGGATGTTGCCTGGTATGGAGGGTGCTAGCTATGAAGAGAGGTTGAGTAGATTAGGATTGTTTACATTAGAAAGACGGAGGTTGAGGGGGGACCTGATTGAGGTCTACAAAATCATGAGAGGTATAGACAGGGTGGATAGCAAGAAGCTTTTTCCCCAGAGTGGGGATCTCAATTACTAGGGGTCATGATTTCAAGGTGAGAGGGGAAAAGTTTAAGGGAGATATGCATGGAAAGTTCTTTACGCAGAGGGTGGTGGGTGCCTGAAATGCGTTGCCAGCGGAGGCGGTAGAGGCAGGCACGATAGCGTCATTTAAGAAGTATCTAGACAGATACATGAAAGGGCAGGGAGCAGAGGGATACAGATCCTTGGAAAATAGGCGACAGGTTTAGATAGAGGATCTGGATCAGCGCAGGCTTGGAGGGCCGAAGGACCTGTTCCTGTGCTGTAATTTTCTTTATTCTTTGTTCAACCAACCACCCGCCATGAGGTTTCACAGAACACCATTCAGCCCATCCTCTAGTGATGCACCTCTGGTGGAGGTTAATTATCACACTCATCTATCAATATAAATACAGATCCAATTACACCCAGTTTTCCCAAACACAGGTTCAAACAGCAGTTGACTGGAAAGGTAGGGGGACTGACTTGGCAGGGGAGGTTGGCCTCATTTTTCATCACTTTGGTGAGAAGCTAGTCCTGTTGTCAGTACAAGATTCCAATCAGCAAATTGGGCCATCATTCATTTCTTTTTATTCATGATCAGGATCATGGTGTTGCTGGCTGGGCCAGTATTTGTTGCCCATCACTAATTGCCCTTTTGGTATCTGTAGACTCACTGCTAGTTGTGAAGGTGTTGCTGGCTGCTGACAGATTGTGCTGTATAGATAAGTGGCTAGTGACAGACTATACTTCAGCTGTCATCCTGAACTGTCACTCAAAACAATTTTCACAGAAGTATTTTGTTTGTTTACAGTAAGTAAGCAGTCAACAACACACTCTGCCAATTTACAAAGTAAGATACCACAGCCTGCAAGGAAGATGAACATCCAGATTTTCCACAATCGGTGATAATTAAAGGAGGAATGTGCATGAGAACATGTTCCATTTCCCCAAAACTCTGGCTGAACATTCTGCACGTATCACAAGGCAGGTAGGACCGAATTTAAATGTTCCCTTTGATGAACAGTACTCAAATAGTGCAGCGCTCTATCAGTACTTAGCATCTAACAGTGCAGCACTCCCTCAGTACTGACTCTTCAACAGTGCACTGCTCCCTCTGTGGCACTCCCTTAATACTGTCCCTCTAACATGCAATCAGTGGTGGCATTGTGGTAATGTCAGAGAAGTAGTGACATTAGGTTCTTACTGGGTATAAATCCTGGAACTCCTTCCCTAAGGGCATTGTTTACAGCACACCGACTGCAGCGGTTCAAGGTGGCAGCTCACCACCACCTTCTCAAGGACAACTAAGGAGGGGCAATAAATGCTGGCTCAACCAGTGATGCTCATGTCCCACAAATGAATAAAAAATATTCTCAGAACGTACACTCAAAAGACACAAATGGTGTAATTTGAATTTGATTAATAAAAATCAGGAATTAAAATAACCTGTTGATGATGACAAAGAAATAACTGTCAATTATCAATAAAATCCTTCTGGTTCACTAATGCTGTTTAGGGAAGGAAATCTGTTGTCCTTACCTGGTCTGGCAGCAAAATCTGCTAAAAGGAAAGAAGCTAGATGAATCACTCAGTATTGAATGAGGCATTGGAAACAATAACTGCAAACTTAATTCTGTCAATCTTGCAAAATCCTCCTTAGTAACATCAGGGAGATTACTGAACTGTGACAGCTGTCTCACAGACTAGTCAAACAACATCTAACACAGTCATACTCAAGGAATCATATCTTAAAGAAAAAGAAGGGTCTAGGCCCGAAACGTCAGCCTTCCTGCTCCTCTGATGCTGCTTGGCCTGCTGTGTTCATCCAGCTCTACACCGTGTTATCCCACTACTGATTGAGTTAGTTGAGGCCTAAAAGGACATAGATTCTAGACTGGGTCTGCAGCAGGTGCTGAGGGAACCAATAAGAGGGGAAAACATACCTGACTTCATCCTTACCAATCTGCCAGCTGCAAATGCATCTGTCCTTGACTGAATCGGTAAGAGTGGCCACTGCACAGTCCTTGTGAACACAAAGTCCTACTTTCAACATTGAGAATACCTTATATCATGTTATGTGGCACTATCACTGTGCTAAATGGGACAGACTTCAAACAGACCTAGCAATTGAGAATTGAACATCCATGAGGCATCATGGGCTATCATCAACAGCAGAACTGGTGCTCCTTACACAACCTGCAACCTCAAGGCCTGGCATATCCCCGACTCTAACACTACTATTGAGCCAGGGTATCAACACTAGTTCAATGGAAAGTGCAGGAGGGCACGCCAGGAGCAGCACCAGGCATACCTTAAAATGAAGTGTCAACCTGATGAAGCTCCTTGATGCTAAACAGCATAAGCAGCGAGTGATAGACAGAGCTAATCAATCCCACAAACAATGCATCAGATTGGAGTTCTGCAGTTCTGTCACGTCTAGTCATGAATACTAGAAGACAAGAGGAGGAGGTTTCACACACGCCCCCATTCTCACTGATATGGGAACAAAACACATCAGTGCAAAGACAAGCCTGAAGCATTTGCAACATTCTTCAGCCAAAAATGCCAAGTAAACAATCAATCGCATCTTCCTGAGGACCTCAGCACTGATGCCAGTCTTTAGTCAGTTCGACGGACTCCATAAGAAAAGCTGAAGGTACTGGATACCACAAAGTTACAGAGCCCTGACAACATTCCAGCAACAGTACTGACGATATGCGTTCCAGAACACACTGCGCCCCAACCCAGCTGTTCCTGTACAGCAACAGCATGGTATCTAGTCAACAATGTGGTAAATTGTCCAGGTTATGTCTTGTATAAAAAGCAAAACAAATCCAATCAGACAATTATTGTCCCAACAATCTACTCTCGATCATCATTAAAGTGGTGGAAGGAATCATCACTGCTATGAACCGGTTCTTGGTAAGCAATAACCTGCTCAGTGATGTTCAGATTGGGTTCCAGCCTGGGCCCAGAGCTGAGGTCAGAGTGACTGTCTTTGAGTTAAAGGCCGTATTTGAATGGATTTTGCATTAAGGAATATTAACAAAGCTGAAATCAACTTGAGTTGGGGAAATAACTCTCTCTGAAGTCATACCTAGAGAAAGGAAGATGGCTATGATTGTTAGAGGCCCATCTCTCAGCTCCAGGACACTTCTGCAGGAGTTCCTCAGGGTAGCGTCCTAGGCAAAACCATCTTCAGTTGCTTCATCAATGACGTTCCCTTCACCATAAAGTCAGAAGTGAGGACGTTTGCTGATAATTGCACAACGTTGAGCACTATTTGTGACTCCTCAGATCTTGTGTCCAAATGGAGCGAGACCTGGATAATATCCAGGCTTGGGGGATTAATAAGCAGCAAGTAATATTCACACCATACAAGTGCCAGACAATGGTCATTTCCAACAAGACAGAATTTAATCATCTCTTTATGACATTGAACAGTATAACCATCACTGATCCCCCAACTCCCCTCATTGCTGGCTCAACATCCTCAAACTCCCTTCCTAAGAGCACTACAGCATCCCTCCACCCCAAGGTCTACAGTGGTTATTGAAAGCAGCTCACCACCACCGTCTCCAGGACAATTAGGAATGGGAAATAAATGCTGACTCAGCCAGCAACACCCACATCCCATGAATGAATATAAAATGTGTACAGGACTCCTCCAGTGTTGACACCTTGAAAATATATCTGCACCACACCTGCACTGGAATGTTGGATGGGGCAGAGTGGGGGCAGCTGTACCAGTGCTGGGAATATGGGATGGGGACAGTTATAGAGGAAGATTTACTCTGTCTCTAAATTCACGTTGTACCTGTCCTGTGAGCGCTTTTAAGTGACAGTGTAGATGGAGCTTTACTTTGCACCTAACCCTGTGTTGTAACTGAAATGAGAGCCAATGTTGGCCCTCCCTATTGGCTTAAATTAAATGGGGACTGGGCAGGAAAATGGAGTTGAGGCTGAGCTGAAATCGGCCAAGATGTGCTAAATGGCAGATCAGCCTTGATGTGCTGAATTGCCTAGTCTTGCTCCTGGTTCTTATATTCTAACTCCTGGGTGAGACATTCTCTCGAGACCACATACACTTTTAGGTGGAAGTCACCGATTCCACGGCCAGTTGTCAGTGAACAGCAGGAGGATTTTCCCAGTTTCCAAGGCAATATTTACGTAACAAGCCCTAAGCTGTCCTACCAGTGGTTTAACTCATGAATGTCTGAGATATCTGCCTATACATTAAATGGCTGCCATACGCACCCGCTTTACAATAACAGTACTGAAATTATCTCGAGGACATGGAAGATGTTTTTTAAAACACATCTTGCTTTCTCATTGCCTTGCAGCTCTAAACAAGAGCAGCTTGACAAAATTCAATAATAAGGCTTCAGTCAGAGGCTCTATATGCCAACACAGACACAACACCAAATCTATCCCTGCATCTACACTGCTCTCATCAACATTAACACCAACAACTCTGAACACAGACCTGGCCTTTGGCTGCTGCACTCCAGCGCTGACCCCCTCTTCCATCTCTTGGACTCGGGCCTCTTACATCCACCCCAGGGTTTCCTGCAGACAGTAAGCTCCAGACTCTACCACACAAACACATTCTCAAGCAGCCCATTTCTCCTGCTCACAGACTGCGAGCTGTCTGCACCTGCTCTGTCAGCTTGGATTATTTTGGTGCTTGTTACAGGATCTTTCCTCACTGCGACACTCACACCTTCCGTGTTACAGCCAAGTACAGCAAGAAACCAACCTCCTCTCAGCCTGTGTATGCATAGCACCATCCAGTAACCCATCCTATACTGTTAACCCCCTAATCCGTGCCATTCACACCAATGCACCATATACTTACACCAAAACCTCTAACCCTTCCCCTTCAGCCATCACCCAGTCCCTTCTCTTGGGTATTTTTTTCACCTCTCTTTCCCCTCTTCCACAATTATTTTTACACTTCTCTATCACCCTCCCCCAGGTATATTTACCCCTCTCTCCACCTCTCCTGGGTATTTTTACCTCCCCCACACCACCACCTCTCCCCCACCCCGTATTTTTTACCGCTCACTCGCCCCCTTCCTGGGTATTTTTACCCCTCTCTCCCCATTCCCTGGAATTTAGCTCTCTCTCTCTTTCTTCCACCCCCTTCTGGGTAATTTTACCTCTCTCTCCCCTTCCCAGGAAGAATTTCCCACAGTCAGCACCACAGTGAAGCATTCTGGGAAGAGTGTCAAGAAGTGATGCAGGGCAAGAGGAAATTGTTGATTGGGTGAGTAAGGTCAGGTGAGAATTTCTAATCACATAGTTTTAAGATTTTTCAAATAGGTTTAGTCTGAAAGGCCATCAACCAGAGGTCCAGAGAAGGGCCCCAAAGTAATCTGTATTATTTAACTTTAAAGGGGTACATCATGGAATCAGATATATTTTTTCTGCTCTATGTGGAATGTTGGGCATAGTTTCCGGGGCCAGAATGTGTGCAGGAAGTGTCCCCAGCTACAGCTCCGGAGAACCTAGGTTTTGGAACTGCAGCAGCAGCTGGGCATACTGTGGGGCATCAGTGAGGCCAACAGTTTTGTGGATAGCACTTACAGAGAAATGGACACTCCGCATGCCAGGAGTCCACAGGCGGGGTGGGAAACGGATGACCACCAGGCAGAAAAAGAGAACTCAGCAACATGAGAACTCCCCTGTGGTCTTTCCCCTGCAAAACAGATATACCATTTTTGAGAGATAGTAGGAACTGCAGATGCTGGAGAATCTGAGATAACAAGGTGTAGAGCTGGATGAACACAGCAGGCCAAGCAGCATCAGAGGAGCAGGAAGGCTGACGTTTCGGGCCTAGACCCTTCTTCAGAAAAATGGCTGACGTTTCGGGCCTAGACCCTTCTTCAGAAAAATGGACAAAAAATGTTTCCGAAGAAGGGTCTAGGCCTGAAACGTCAGCCTTCCTGCTCCTCTGATGCTGCTTGGTCTGCTGAGTTCATCCAGCTGTACACCTTGTTATACCATTTTTGATACTGTTGATTCTCAGAGAAAAGTAGCAATAGCCAATTTTGTTGCACCACCACTGGCTCTGTTGCAGAGGACAGGAGGAAAAAGTGTACGAAGGTTATAGTAATATGGGATTCAATCATAAGAGAAATAGATTAGATGTTTCTGTGGCCACAAACGAGACTCCAGGATGGTATTTTGCTTTCTGGGTGCTAGAGTGAAGGATGTCTCAAAGTGGTGACAAGACATTGTGCAGTGAGAGGGTGAACAGCCAGTGATCATGGTACACATGCATCTACATGTAGGCAAAAAAAAATGGATGAGGTTCTGAAAGCAGAACATAGTGAGTTAGAAAGTGGGTTAAAATGTAGGACTTCAAAGGTAGTGATCTCAGCATTTCTACCTGTGCCACGCACTAGTCATAATAGAAATGGCAGGATATATCAGATGAAAATCTGATGGACAGATGGAGCAAAGGGTTTGAGATTCCTGGGACATTGGGGCTGGTTCTGGGAGAGATGAGACAGCACAAGCTGAAAAGGTTATATCTGCGCAGGACTAGACCTGATGTCCGTGGAGGAGTATTTAAGAATGCAGTTGGGTAGAGTTAAACTGAAATGGTGAGGAGGATAGGTATCTATACATGAAGACAGAAGAGAGGGAAATAAAGACAAAAGACAAAATGGGAAATAAGAAGCAACAGGCAGAAAATTCAAAGGCACGAATCAAACAGGGACACTGCAAATTAATGTAAACTGGACTAAGAATGTTAAAAAGACAAGGCCTTGTGTCTTAACTCACAGATCATTCACAATAAAGTGGATAAATCTGTCGTGAAAATAAACGAAACTGGGATATCACATAGTTGGGATAACAAGATAGGTGGCTATAGGGTGACCAGAATGGGAAATGAATATCCATTTTAGAAGAACAAAGATGAAAAGGAGGCAGAGTAATATTGTTGGTTGAAGAGAAATTAATGTAATGGTGAGAAAGAATATTAGATTCAGTGACGGAGGATTCTATGTGGGTATAGAAATACCAAAAAAGGCAGAAAAGGTTAGTGGGGTTTATACGTAGACCTCAAACCATAGTGGTAACATTGGGGAAGTCATAAAACAGGAGATACAAGCAATGAAGGTACAGCGGTAATTACAGCGGACTTTAATGTCCAACAGACTGGGCAAATCAAATCAGATGAAGAATTTCTGATTTGTGTACAAGATTGGTTTCCTAGATCAATACTTTGAGGAACTGTCTAATGAGCAAAAGCTAAACAGGTTGAGACTCGATTCAATGGAGTTTAGAACCTTGATAGGGTAAATGCTGAGAGGATGTTACACCTCACCAGAGTGTCTAGGACCAGAGGGCACAGTCTCAGAATAAGGATCCACCAATTTAAGACTAAGATGAGGAAGAATTTCCATTTCACGGAGGGTTGAGTGTCATTGGAACTCTTTGCCATAGAAAACTGTGGGGGCAGAGTCCGTGTGTATATTTAAGATAGAGACAGACAGATTCTTGATCAGTTGGGGAATCACGGATTATGGGAAAAAGGCACGAATGTGAACGTGAGGAATGTCAGATCTTAATGAATGGTGGTGCAGGCTCGGGGGACTGAATAGCCTATTCCTGTTCCTATTTTCTATGGTCTTATGGAACGAAAAGACAAGCCATTCTAGATTGGGCATAGTCTAATGAGAAAGGAATAATAGGTATTCTAGCTATGTGAGGCCCGTTGGGCAAGAATGGCCATACAATGATAGAATTTTCATAGTCATACAGCACAGAAACATGTCCATGCAGACCAGTTTCCCAAACTAAACTAGTCCAACTAGCCTGCGTTTGGCCCATATCCCTCTAAATCTTTCCTATTCATGTACCTGTTCAAATGTCTTTTAAATGTTGTAACTGTACCTGCATCTACCACTTCTGAGTTGATTCCACACACAAACCACTCTCTATGTGTAATAAAGTTGCCCCAAGGGCATTTTTAAATCTTTCTCCTCGCACCTTAAAAATATGCCCCCTTGTTTTGAACTCACCCACCTTAGGGAAAAACCTTTGTTATTCACCTTATCTATGCCCCTCATGATTTTATAAACCTCCATAAGGTCACTCCTCAACTTCCTAGGCTCCAGTGAAAAATACCCCAGCCTATCCTTATAACTCAAATCTTCCGGTCTCTCTGTCCTGAAGAAGGGTAATACCCAAAACATTGACCTCTCCTTTCCTCCTGATGCTGCCTGGCTTGCTGCGGTCTTCTAGCCTCCTGTTTGTCTACCTTGGATTCCAGCATCTGCAGTTTTTTCTTGTCTCTAACCAAGTTTATATGCCTGCAAAGTCTCTTCAAAGATTGCCCACTTTGAAGAAGTTCTCTGCCTCCCTCAGATGTGAACTCAGTGAGTCCCTTTCTCTCTACCACAATATTGTCATCTCTTCAGCCCTTCAACTCTTTGAACGCACCATGTAACAAACCTGCGACTACAGCCACGTGACCTTCCTCAGCTCCTGTCTTCGCCCCCAACTCATCCCTCAAGGCCTACAGGTACATTTTAAACCCTCAAAATTTGGACCCACCTTCAATGCCTCCAGAAACAATTCTCTCTCTGGATTCTCAGCTCAACCCTCCCTGCAGTGCACCAGCACCTCCACTCCCTCTCCTCATCCTTCCCACAGCTCAAGGCCTGAGTCCTGAAGAAGGGTCATACCCAAAACATTGACTTCGCCTTTCTGCCGGGTACCACCTGGTTTGCTGTGTTCTTCCTGGTTTCCTGTTTGTCTACTCTCTGTTCTACAACACTCCCCAGGGCCCTACCATTAACTGTGTAAGTCCTGCCCTTGTTGGTTTTACCAAAATGTAATACCTAGCATTTAACTGAATTAAACTCCATCTGCCCTTCCTCAGCCCACTGGCCCAACTGATCAAGATTCCTTTGTAATTTTAGATAATCTTTTTCACAGTCGACTAAACCTCCAATTTTGGTGTCATCCGCAAACTTACTAACCATGCCTCTTAAAGTCTCATCCAAAATGTCTATATAAATTTTATGTAAACAAAAGTGGACCCAGCACTGATCCCTGCGGAACACTGCTGGTCACAGGTTTCCCTTCCACACCACCCTCTATCTCCTACCATCAAGTCAATTTTGTACCCAATTGGCCATGTCTTCCTAGATTCCATGTGATCTAACCTGACTAACCACTCTACCATGCGGGACCTTGTTAAAGGCCTTGCTAAAGTCCATGTAGACTTTAAGTCTAAAGACTGAAGTCCACTCTGTCACAATCAACCTTTTTGGTCAAGGCCTCAAAAATCTCAATCAAGTATGTGAGACATTATTTCCCATGCTCAAAACCTTGCTGACTATTGCAAATCAGTCCTTGCCTCTACAAATGCACGTAAATCCTATCTCTCAGAATCCCCTCCAACAACATACCCACCACTGGTGTCAAACTCACAGATCTATAATTCCCAGGCTTCTCCTTACAGCCTTTCCTAAATAAGGGCACAACATTAGCCACCCTTCAATCCTCCGGCACCTCACTTGTGGCTGTAGATGATACAAATATCTCTGTTGGGTGCCAAAATTTCTTCCCCAACTTCCCACAATGTCCTGGGATACACTTGATCAGGTCCTGGAGATTTATCCACCTTTATATTTAAGACCTATATAGCTCTTCCTCTTCCGTAATGTGGACTGTTTGCAAGACATCAAGACTTATTTCCCTGTGTTCCCTAGCCTCCACTTCTTTCTCCACGGTAAAAACACTGACCCTCAGAGCATCCCACCCAGACCCATCCCTATAACCCACCTAATCTACACATACCTGAACACTACGGGCAATTTAGCATGGCCAATCCACTTAGCCTGCACATCTTTGGAGACTGTGGGAGGAAACCGGAGCACCCGGAGGAAACCCACGCAGACACGGGGAGAACGTGCAAACTCCACACAGACAGTCACCCAAGGTTGGAAACAAACCCGGGTCCGTGGTGCTGTGAGGCAGCAGTGCTAACCACCGAGCCACCATGCTGTGCCTATATATGATTCCTCTTTATTCTTGACCAGGTCCTCAATATCTGAGTTCTGAGGAAGGGTCACCGGACCTGAAACATTAACTCTGTTTTCTCCTTCACAGATGCTGCCAGACCTGCTGAGCTTTTCCAGCAACTTTGTTTTTGTTCCTCAATATCTTTATTCTTCCATTGTTCCCAACTGTTACCAGCCTTGTCCTTCACTCTAACAGGAACCTAATGTCCCTGAACTCTTGTTACCTCACTTTTGAAAGCCTCCCAGTTGCCAGTCGTCCCTTTACCTGCGAACAGTCTACTCCAATCAACTGTTGAAAGTTCCTGTCTCATACCATCAGAATTTGCCTTACTCCAATTAAGAACTTCAACTTTTATACAACGCCCAACCTTTTCCATAACTATTTTAAAACTAATAGAATTATGGTCCCAAAGTGCTTCTCTAATAACACCTCAGTCACTTCTCCTGCCTTATTTCCCAACAGAAGGTCATGTTTTGCTCCTTCTTTAATAGGTACATCTACATATTGATAAAGAGAGTTTTCATGAACACATGTAACAAATTGCTCACCATCCCTTAACATTGTGGCAGTCGCAGTCTACGCTTGGAAAGTTCAATCCCCTACTATTATAACCCTATTATTCCTACATAGATCCAAAATCCTTCTACATATTTATTCCAAAATTTCCCTCTGACAATTGGGGGGCCTACAGTGCAATTCCATCAAGGTGATCATCCCCTTTTTATTTCTGAGTTTCACCCATGTAGCTTCATTGAACGATCCCTCAAGAATATCCTAAGCACTGCAGTGTTGTTTTTCTTAATCAAAAATGCCAGTCCCCCTCCTCTCTTACCTCCCTTTCTATCCTTCCTGTAGTGTCTAAACCCAGAATGTTGAGCTGCCAGTGCTGTCTCTCCCTCAGCCATGTTTCTGTAGTAGCTATGTTGCCCTGGTCCCAATTTCCATACATGTCCTGAGCTCATCTGCCTTACGTGTAAGAGCCCTTGCACTGAAATAAATGCAGTTTAATTCATCAGAATTACCTCCTTCTCTGGACTGCTCTTCCTGCCTTTTCTAATTAACTTGCTCTTTTTAAATTCAGAACTATCACAGAGTGATGTAGTTGATCCTGAGGTGCAAGCTGACTATGATAAATTGGGGAATGTTAATTAAAGGTTATGATGGTGGATAGGCAATGGCAAACATTTAAGCATGTATGGAGGAACTGCACACAACTGTTCATTCCTGTCTGACACAAAGGTAAAATCGGCAATGTGGCCTGACCATAACACGAGAAATTAGGGATTATATTAGATCCAATTACAAATTGGTCAAAAAAAGGAGTCCTGAGGACTGGGAGCAGTGTACACTTCAGTAAAGGACAATGGGATTGATTAAGAAAGGAAAAATCAAGTTTGAAAGTAAGCTTGCAAGGAACACACAAACCGATTGCAAACATTTTTATAGGTATGTGAAGAGAAAACAATGAGTGAAGACAAATGTAGGTCCCATACATTCAGAAATAGGGAAAGTTATGCTGAGGAACAAAGAAATTGTAAACCAACTAAAAACATACTTTAGCTCTGCCTTCACAAAGGAGGACACAAATAACGTATCAAAAATGTTGAGGAACAGAGACTCATGAGAGGAAGGAAAAGAAGGAAATGGGTGGGTATTATATATAGCCTCCCAAACTGTAGTGGTACTGTTAGGGAAGTCACTAAATAGGAAATCAGAAATGTAAACAATAAAGATACAGCTGCAGTTATAGATGACTTTAATCTGCAATGGATTGGGCAAATCAAATCAGAGGAGGAAATCCTGCAGTTATTAGCAGGGAAATGGTGTTGGGGAAATTGATGGTATTTGAGACCAATAAATCCCCAGAGCACAATAATCGACATCCCAAAATAATTATGGAAGTGAGCCTAGACATAGCAGATGGGCATCTTTCAAGATTCCACAGACTTGGGAATAGTTCCTATGGATTGAAGGATAACTAATATAACCCCACGATTTAACAGAAGTAGTGGAGAGAAAACTAGGAATTATAGACCAGTCAGCCTGATGTGGTAGTGGAGAAATGCTAGAGGCCATTGTAAAAGATTTAATAGCAGAACACTTAGAAAACAGAGACAGGATTGAACAGAGTCACCATAGATTTATAAAAGGGAAATTATGTTTGACAAATCCACTAGAATTTTACAGGAACATATCTAGCAGAGTTGATAAAGTGGGGGGGGTGGTTTGGTTTACTTGAACTTTCAGGCTTCGGTAAGATCCTATATAAAAGATTAGCATGTAAAATTGAAGTCTATGGCATTGGGGGTAATGTACTGACATAAATAGAGAACTGCTTGGCAGACAGGAAACAAAGACTAGGAACAAATGGCTTATTTTCCAAAAGGCAGCCAGTGACTACAGGGGTACCACAGTGCTTGGACCCCATTTATTCGCAATACATATTAATGATTTAGATGAGGAAAATGTAAGTTTGCAGAAGACATAGAGCTGGGTGGGAACGTAAACTGTGAGGAGGATGCAAAGATGCTTCAATGTGATTTGGACAAGTTGGGTGAGTGGACAAATGCATGGCAGTTGTAGTATACTGCGAATAAATGAGAAGTTATCCAATTTGATAGTAAAAACAGAAAGGTGAATTATCTGAAGACAATAAATTAGCAAAGGGAGAGGAGTAACAACACCTGGGTGTCCTTGTACATCAGTCACTGAAAGCAAACATGCAGATTCTGCAGGCAGGCAAGTGATGAAGGCAAATAGCCTTCATAGTGTGAGTATTCAAGTACAGGGATGTCTTACTGCAATTATACAAGGCCTTAGTGAGACCACACTTGGAATATTGTGAGAAGTTTCAGTCTGCTTATCCAAGGAAGAATGTTGTGGCTATGAAGACAGTACAACAAAGATTTACCAGACTGATTCCTGTGATGACAGGACTCATGTATGAAGAGAGATGAGATCAGTTATTCTGAAATCAAACAAGGCCCTTCTGGTACATAAAGAAAGCAGGAAAAAAACTTTAACAAGGAATTAGGAGGGCCAAAAGAGGCCATGAAATGTCCTTAACAAGTAGGATTAAGGAGAATCCCAACGCATTTTATATCTCTACAAAATGGGATAGCTAGGGAAAGGACAGTCCTCTCAAGGACAAAGGACAAAATGTATGCATGGAGCCAGAGGAATTGGGTGAAGTCATTAACGTGTACTTTGCATCGGTATTCACCAAGGAGGACATGGATGATGGCAAGATTAGGGAGGGGTACGTTCATATTCTAGGACACGTCGATATTAAGGAGGGGAAGACGATGTTGGGTATCTTGAAAAACATTAAGGTAGAAAGTCCCCAGGGCTTGATAGGATCTACCCCAGGACACTGAGGGAGGTAAGGGAGGAGGTTGCTGGGCCCTTGATAGAGGTCTTTGATTCATCTTTAGTCACAGTGTGGTCTCAGAGGACTGAGAACAGCCAATGTTGTTCCTTTGTTTAACAGCAACAGGGATAATCCAGGAAATTGTAGGCCAGTGAGTTTTACATTAGTGGAAGGGGAATCATTGGAAGAAATTCTTAGGGACAGGATTTACTCGTATTTGGAAAAGAATAGACTTATTAGGGGCATTCAGCATGGCTTTCTGCAGTGGAGATCTTGTCTCACAAATATGATTGAGTTTGGAAGTGACAAAGATGATCAGTGAGGGTATACATGGACTTTACTAAAGCATTTGATAAAGGCCCCAGTGGCAGACTGGTTCACAAGATTAAGTCACATGGGGTCCATGGTGAGTTGGTAAGTTTAATACAGAATTGGCTTAGTCACAGAATACAGAGGATATTGTAGAAGAGTATTTTTCTGGTTGAAGGTCCACGACCAGAGAAGTACAGCACGGAAACAGGCCCTTCAGTCCAACTCGTCCATGCTGACCAGGTATCCCAAATAAATCTAGTCCCATTTGCCAGCATTTGGCCCATAACCCTCTAAACCCCTCCTATTCATACACCTATCCAGATGCCTTTCAAATGTTGCAATCATACCAGCCCCCATGATGTCTTCTAGCAACTCATTCCATACACGCACAACTCTCTGCGTGAAAAAATTGCCCCTCAGGTCCTTTTTAAACCTTTCCCCTCTCACCTTAAAGTTATATCTTCTAGTTTTGTACTCTCCCACTCTGGGGAAAAGACCTGTCTATTTACCCTATCCATGACCCTCATGATTTTATTAAGTCATCCCTCAGCCTCCAACACTCCAGGGAAAACAGCCCCAGCCTATTCAGCCTCTACCTACAGTTCAAACTCTCCAACCCTGGCAACATCCTCATAAATTTTTTCTGAACCCTTTCAAGTTTCACAAGATCCTTCCTAGAGCAGGGAGGCCAGAAATGCACGCGGTATTCCAATAGTGGCCTAATGATATGGAGGTGCTGGTGTTGGACTGGAGTGGGCAAGGTCAGAAATCACACAACACCAGGTTATAGTCCAACAGGTTTATTTGAAATCACAAGCTTTCGGAGGCTTGGTCCTTCTTCAGCTGCCAGTGAGAGAGGTACTATCAGACACAGAATTTATAAGTAAAAGATCAAAGGGCCACACCACTGATGAGGATGTAGTAAACTAACCTAAAATGCTGTTAAATTTTTAATCAGTTAGAAGGTTTTAATTGATTAATATGTATTTGTAAATTCCCGGATTCCTTTCAAGTCACTGTTCTGAGAGAAAGTTTTATCACTGTAAAGAAGAGGTGACATTTTAGATCAATACATGCACAACAAGAACAAGAAACTGGAGAAACTTAGCATCACTACCAGCAGTAGCCAAGTCTCCCCTGGTAACCACAGTTGAAAGCGGTACCAACACAGGAAAATCCATCATCAACTTACCTGACCATACCCTTCAACCTGACAAGATCGACATTCTCAGCCAAGGACTCAATTTCTGCCCCGCCACCAAAATGGAGCCCGATGGTCTCGTGGCAGACACAGAAGAATTCATCAGAAGAATAAGACTCCAAGAATTCTTCCAAGATGTCAGCAACAAGCCCAATGAGACAACCAATGAACCAGATCAGTCAACAGAGAGATTCATGGGAGAACGGGCAAAGGAGGAGTCGAAGTGGACCCCTCCAGAGGGCCTGTGCCCGGGGCTTGACAGCTATGCTCGAGCCATCAGAAAATGTGTGAACGCCAAATTCATCGGCCACACTCACAAGGTAGTGCAAAATGTCACCCAGCCATCCGTGCTCTCAAACCCGATCGCAACATTGTCATCAAACCAGCAGACAAAGGAGGAGCCATTGTCATACAGAATAGAACGGACTACTGCAAGGAAGTGTACTGACAACTGAACAACCAGGAACACTAAAGACAACTACCTGCTGATCTGGCCAAAGAACACATCCGTCAACTGAGCAGACTGGTCAGGACTTTTGATCCAGTCCTTCAGAGTACCCAACACACCCTCATCCCGCGTAGGGGAGTTTTACTGCCTTCCAAAGATACACAAAGCCAACACACCCGAATGTCCGATCATATCAGGCAATGGCACCCTG